TGGGCATTTTAGGCGATGCCTACAGTACTTAATCGCAGCTCTCGAAATGATTTTATGTGACTGGACTCCAAACTCAAGTACTAGGCATTCTACTCTCTTCTCTGTCCTTTTCATTTTTGAAAAGAAAGGCTTAAGTACATAACAAAAATATGCCTTTCTGGCATGAAGTACACTGAATGTGTGGGGTAAAAGTAATTAATGTTAATCTGATGTTCAAGTGGCTAAATACATACTAACGCTAACTGGAAAATATCTACGAGGTAGAGTTTTTTCCATATCTTGATTTCTAGGCATCCATCTGGGGATGTTGATTGATTTTGCCATTTTTTGCGGACAGGATTTTTTGTGGATCTGCTTCAAAGTGGGTAGAACCCTCTCTTCCGCCCCATAGGCACACGCAAGAGTGGAAGCATTTTGAGGAGTATTGTCAATCACACAGCTCAGTGGACTTCAATGCGTAAATTAAATTCACCCAAAATGTTAGGTAACACTGGCATGCGAATGGTTATGCTTAGCCGATCAGTTTTTTTGCAGTCGCTCCGACTGACCTTAAGATAGTCTTAATCCCTTGTGCTAACTAAGGCGCACAATATACGGAGGTGGGGGGAGGAGCATTGTGCACCATATCGCCTGTGTTTATGGTAGAAGGGACTACTGCTGAAAAATGGCACCTGTGTGTAGAATGCACAGAGTTCTGACGTGCTTTCGTGTGACAGGCTATCAGGAAGGAAGCATGTCGCTGTTGCACAAATTTATCGTTTTGTGGTATGCTTTGAGTAAAAAAAAACAAGTTGACCGCCACTTATATTTCCTTTTCCTGAATGATCAAGAGGGCTTGGTGACTACAGACGGATTTATTCCTCCATGAAATAGAAGTAAGGAGGTAGACGAAGGAGCCTTGTAATAATACATGAAAGTGAAGTACCATTTTATTCCCTTCCTTTTGGACATCGGCGCAGGGCACTCACCAACCATTCCTGGACTTCGATTGGCACGGAAGAGACATTTGGAAATGAGTGATTGCTGGACCATGTTTTAACCCAAGCATCTTACGTGTGTGATGGGGAAGGAAGGTGCCAGCTTCACGCTTACTTTTATAAAGGTCATCCTTAACCCCTACCCCAGTGTGGCCATTATTCGATGCCGAATTCTAGGTCGAAGGATGTTCGTGAAGGTTGATCAGGTCCTAGAAATCATTCCAACATACACTTTGTTATCCACTTCAGGCACCTCCTCCTTGATCTTTTCATATGAGAGACTTGTTAAAGCATCAGAACTGTCGATCACTTCATCCAGAAATGAAACCTAACATGCCGCGTTGGTAGTGGATAGGTGGTTAGCAGTTATTCATAAAAGGACGGTAAAATGTCACACAATTGTGGTGCTACTTCATTAATGCGCATTTATTTGGGTGGCAAAAACCAGGACGACCCCTTAGGAGCCAGGTGATGGGAGTTTCAAAGTATGTACCACTTAAAGTACCTATTATTGTAATAGAACAGCACTTAAACCCAATTATGCGGCAGACATCCTTTTTATCGTTCGGACAGTCCTTCTTCCTGGCGGTTATTGAACCGCGGTGACCTTACCTCCAGCCTCTGCTACCTATCGCTCTGACAGTATGTGAGGGGAAAAGGGGGCGTCGGCGGGAGGATCCGCTTTAAACTGGCGCCTTGTAAATGTGAACAAAAAAACTCTTAAGGCAGAGGGTTTGAAAGATGCAGTAAATTTATTAGAACTTGCATTTATCCCGCCAGTAAGGCCACGCGCAACTTTAAATGTCAAGCTTGTCAAACTTACCTGCATATGGATATAGCGGGTTAAAGAGTGGCCAACGCCAAATTAACAGCCTCATTTTTGGTTTCTCTTCGCACTCATTTAAACATAACGCCGAATTCCTGGCGATGTTTGATGCAAAAGAATGTCACAACCGCGCAAAGGTCGACTTACTCGTGTCTCG